CAAAAAGAAAAGTCCAGGACCTGATGGATTCTCTGCTGAATTCTATCAGACCTTTAAAGAAGAACTGATACCAACCCTCCTTAAACTGTTCCATGAAATAGAAAGGGAAGGAAAACTGCCAAACACATTTTATGAAGCCAGTATTACACTTATCCCAAAACCAGGCAAAGACACCTCCAAAAAGGAGAACTATAGGCCAATCTCCTTAATGAACATTGATGCAAAAATCCTCAACAAAATAATGGCAAACCGAATTCAGCAACACATCAAAAAGATTATTCACCACGACCAGTAGGCTTCATCCCAGGGATGCAGGGGTGGTTCAACATACGAAAATCAATAAACGTAATAAACCACATTAACAGAAGCAAAGACAAAAACCACTTGATCATCTCAATAGATGCAGAAAAAGCCTTTGATAAGATCCAACATCATTTCATGATAAAAGCTCTAAGAAAACTAGGAATAGAAGGAAAGTTCCTCAACATTATAAAAGCTATATATGACAAACCTACAGCCAGCATTATACTTAACGGAGAAAAACTAAAACCATTCCCTCTAAAATCAGGAACCAGACAAGGATGCCCACTATCTCCACTCCTATTCAACATAGTACTGGAATTCCTAGCCAGAGCAATTAGGCAAGAAGAAGGAATAAAAGGAATACAAATAGGTAAAGAAACTGTCAAAATATCCCTATTTGCAGACGACATGATCCTATACCTTAAAGACCCAAAAAACTCTACTCAGAAGCTTCTAGACATCATCAATAGCTATAGCAAGGTAGCAGGATATAAAATCAACATAGAAAAATCATTAGCATTTCTATACACTAACAATGAGCAAACGGAAAAAGAATGTATGAAAACAATTCCATTTACAATAGCCTCAAAAAAAATCAAATACCTAGGTGTAAACCTAACAAAAGATGTGAAAGACCTCTACAAGGAAAACTATACACTTCTGAAGAAAGAGATTGAGGAAGACTATAGAAAGTGGAGAGATCTCCCATGCTCATGGATTGGTAGAATCAACATAGTAAAAATGTCGATACTCCCAAAAGTAATCTACATGTTTAATGCAATTCCCATCAAAATTCCAATGACATTCATTAAAGAGATTGAAAAATCTACTGTTAAATTTATATGGAAACACAAGAGGCCACGAATAGCCAAGGCAATACTCAGTCAAAAGAACAATGCAGGAGGTATCACAATACCTGACTTCAAACTATATTACAAAGCAATAACAATAAAAACAGCATGGTACTGGCACAAAAACAGACATGAAGACCAGTGGAACAGAATAGAGGATCCAGATATGAAGCCACACAACTATAAGCAACTTATCTTTGACAAAGGAGCTAAAAATATACGATGGAGAAATAGCAGCCTCTTCAACAAAAACTGCTGGGAAAACTGGTTAGCAGTCTGCAAAAAACTGAAACTAGATCCATGTATATCACCCTATACCAAGATTAACTCAAAATGGATCAAGGATCTTAATATCAGACCCCAAACTCTTAAGTTGATACAGAAAGAGTAGGAAATACTCTGGAGTTAGTAGGTATAGGTAAGAACTTTCTCAATGAAACCCCAGCAGCACAGCAACTAAGAGATAGCATAGATAAATGGGACCTCATAAAACTAAAAAGCTTCTGTTCATCAAAAGAAATGGTCTCTAAACTGAAGAGAACACCCACAGAGTGGGAGAAAATATTTGCCAACTATACATCAGACAAAGGACTGATAACCAGAATATAGGGAACTTAAAAAACTAAATTCTCCCAAAACTAATGAACCAATAAAGAAATGGGCAGTGAACTAAACAGAACTTTCTCAAAAGAAGAAATTCAAATGGCCAGAAAACACATGAAAAAATGCTCACCATCTCTAGCAATAAAGGAAATGCAAATTAAAACCACACTAAGATTCCACCTCACCCCTGTTAGAATAGCCATCATCAGCAACACCACCAACAACAGGTGTTGGCGAGGATGCGGGGAAAAAGGAACCCTCTTACACTGTTGGTGGGAATGTAGACTAGTACAACCACTCTGGAAAAAAATTTGGAGGCTACTTAAAAAGCTGGACATCGATCTACCATTTGATCCAGCAATACCACTCTTGGGGATATACCCAAAAGACTGTTACTCCAGAGGCACCTGCACATCCATGTTTATTGCGGCACTATTCACAATAGCCAAGTTATGGAAACAGCCAAGATGCCCCAGCACTGACGAATGGATTAAGAAAATGTGGTATCTATACACAATGGAATTTTATGCAGCCATGAAGAAGAACGAAATGTTATCATTCGCTGGTAAATGGATGGAATTGGAGAACATCATTCTGAGTGAGGTTAGCCTGGCCAAAAGACCAAAAATCGTATGTTCTCCCTCATATGTGGACATTAGATCAAGGGCAAACACAACAAGGGGATTGGACTATGAGCACATGATAAAAGCGAGAGCACACAAGGGAGGGGTGAGGATAGGTAAGACACCTAAAAAACTAGCTAGCATTTGTTGCCCTTAATGCAGAGAAACTAAAGCAGATACCTTAAAGCAACTGAGGCCAATAGGAAAAGGAGACCAGGAACTAGAGAAAAGGTTAGATTAAAAAGAATTAACCTAGAAGGTAACACCCACGCACAGGAAATCAATGTGAGTCAATGCCCTGTATAGCTATCCTTATCTCAACCAGCAAAACCCCTTGTTCCTTCCTATTATTGCTTATACTCTCTCTTCAACAAAATTAGAGATAAGGGCAAAATAGTTTCTGCTGGGTATTGGGGGGAGGGGGGTGGAGTGGGTGGTAAGGGAGGGGTTGGGGGCAGGGGGGAGAAATAAACCAAGCCTTGTATGCACATATGAATAATAAAAGAAAAATGAAAAATAAATAAAAAATAAATAAATAAAATGTGAAAAAAAAAATAATAATTTCATAAACTTCACACTTTGCTGCTATATTTGCCATCCACAAATGACTTTGTACATAAGAAATATACTATGAGCAAGCACCAATTACATTACTTCTTCCAAAGTGTGTTAAGAATCAGTTGCTGTTAATCCATTAGTCAGTTCACATACAGACAGTCAGGTAGTTGTAATGCCTCCTTATTTCCCAGTGATAAATTGATGTGGCATTTTACAAAAGTGGATAATCAAAAGAAAGTGCAGCAAAGAACCAAAGAGCCATAAAACTGAAAGTGAATTTCATAATAAATATAAATAAAATTATCAAAGTGGTAGTTGATCATAGGAGGCTGATGCTTCTTCATTTGAGAAGCTGTAGATATAGCCCCAAAGCAAATTAACAAAAGGAAACTTATTGACATAAATGTGGAAAGCAGATATGATGTGGGCTAGATGTCGTGGCTCCCAATGTAATCCCAGCTACTTGGGAGATAGAGATCTGGATGATAGTGGTTCAAGGACAGCCTGGGCAAAATGTTACCAGAGATCCCATCAACACAACAAGGTGGATGTGGGTGATAAGAGTCTGTAATCCCATCTATGTGGGAGACAGAATTAAAATTAGCATCCTAAGATGACTTATACAAAAGTGCAAGGCCTCCCTGAAGAATAATTAAAACAGAAAGTGGTGGGAGCACGGCTGAAGTGGTACAGTGCCTGCATACAAAGCATGAGGTCCTGAGTTCCCGGTGCCACCAAAACAGAAAATAAGTGACTATGACATGATGAAAAGGGATGAAAATATGGAGAGGAAGTAATGCTGGCAGAAGAATTACCCATTGATGGAGCTCTCAGAGATAGTTCACAACATGAATAAAATGTTGAGGTTGATCCAATCTCAGAAGTATGAGAGTTCACCAAAGCCTAAAGCAGATACAGTTCTGTATCTCAACTTATCTGATGGAAATAAGACATGCACTTTGTGAATTATTTTTGATAAATTTTTATGCAAAATAAATTAATTTTCAATACATTTTGCTTTAAATTATAGTATGCTAAACAACTATTAGCTTTGCTATAGATGCCTCTGCGCTTGTAGGGCAGAGAGTCAAAGAGTTTTCAAAGTCCTGAAAAACAATTTAAAAGTCCTGGGAAAAGCCTGTTTTCCTATTCATTCATTACTAACAACATTTTGCATGATTTCAGTTTGCATGGTTGCTTTTATGATCCTATACTACCGCTCAAGGCAGGAATGGTGTGTAAATTTTACTGAATTTAACCAATATAGCATTTGAGAACAGATAAATTTTAGGTTAGAGCCATTTTCTTTTTTCTTCTTTTCTTCCCTTTATTCTTATCCTTCTCTCTTCTCTCTCTCTCTCCCTCATCCCTCCCCCCACCTCAATTTGGTTCTTTTCAAGGCAGGGTATCATTATACATTATATAGCTCAAGGCTGCTCTGGAATTTTTGATTCTCTTGCCTCAACCTACCAAGTGCAGGGATTACAGTTGTGATCTGTCACACCTGGCACTCAAATCATTTCATGACTTAACAAATCTCTCAATCTTGAGAATTCTAACTCAACAATAATTAGTTAACTAAATATTTAAAATGTTATCCAAAAATTATAAGTGATGTTTTAGCTTTATGCAACTCTGAAGTCCTAAAACCCCAAGACCTACTATTCAACAGTAAGTATAATGAAAGAGAAAAATTTGTCTAAATTATATTTTGTTGGGATGTCATATTTTATTTTATTTTTAACCATAAAAATGTAACTTTTAGCCAGGTGCTGTGACTCATGCCTGTAATACTAGCTACTTGGGAGACTGAGATGGGCCAAGGCAAATAGTTTGCGAAACCCCGTCTTCAAATTACCAAAGCAAAATGGACTAAAGGTGTAATTCAAGGAGTAGATTTCCTGCTTTGCAAGTGTGAAGCCCTGAGTTCAACCCCTAGTCCCACCAAGAAAAAATAATGTTACTTTAGGTACTCCAATCAAGATCACCCATAAATGAAATGCACAAAATGGTTAAATGATAATTTAAATTATAGGGAAACAAGGATGAAAAACTCACATACCGATTGTAGAAATCATCTCTGTAGTAATCGTAGTCAAAGACATAACCACTAAGGAAGGAATAAAAAAAGTTAGCATTTGTGTAAATTTTGTCATTAATTTATGATATTATAGCAAGACATTCATGTTACTTTTTAAATACTAATTTTCCATGGAATTACTTAGGGCTTTTCATGGAGAGGGTGAAAGAGAGCAAATATGGTGGGTGTACCCATACACATGTATATAAATCGAACAATGAAACCTTTTTGAATTATTTTAAGAAGAGGGAGTGATGGGGAAAATGATGAAGAGGGTGACTCTAAGATGCATTGTAAGCACATATGTAAATGTTACAATTTACCCCCCTGACCCATACAACTAATATATGCTAATAAAAAAGATAATATCCTATTTAGCATAATGTGTCAAATTGTTATCATATGTTTAACAATGTAGAAACATAATTATTTCTGTGGTATGGAATGGAGGATGACAGGAGGAAGCAAAATAAATATTTTCTAGCACTTGTAATTATCAACAAAGACTGTTATTTTCCCCAATACAAGATATAATATAGTTATCCCTTCTTTGTAAGGTAATGTTTTGTGCTGGTGTCGAGGGTCCTTGCCTTCACAGGCCAGAGAATTGGTTCGTGAGGCAGCTGAATGATAAGCCAAAGCCAGTATATAAAGTAGGATTTATTAGAGAGAAAGGAAAGGCTACAGCTAGAGAAGCCCAGCAGAGCCCAGAAGCCAGTAGCTTGCTGCTCAGGTGAAGGCTGGGGTTTTTTATGGACATTCTAACTCTGGGTTAGGTGGGTTTTTATCATTGGCCGTGGTTTCGTGGGCTTTCTCAGGTGAACTGGTTTGGTTTTCACCTTTATTGGGGGAGGGAAAACAGTCTTGAGAGCATTTTGCTCATCAGCCCTGTGGCAGATCTGTATCTGTCCTTTAGGATGCAGGAATGCAGGCCTCTTAACTCCTCAGGATGCAGGAATGATATTGCTCTCTATGGGGGATGGGATACTCCCTCATCTGCCTTAGGTCTCCAGGCCCAACAAATCCCCCCTCTGAGACAAGCACACAACTGCTGTTGGGGAGAGAGGTGATGGCTCATCTAGCTGCTTTTTGCTGACAATGGGGAGATGGGGAGATAGGGGAGAGTGTACTTGTCTCAGGGGTTGACCAAGTAGTCTCTATGGGCCCCTGAAAGAATGGGATGGATGGTACATGCCTAGGCAGAGGTAAGTATTCCTTGACTAAAAGCTGGAGTTTGATCCTTTGAACCTGTTGAGATATAAATTTGCAGAGATCATTTATTATACAAGACCCAAAGAGGGATATTAGTAGGAGCATAAAAAAGTGTCTGGTAAGGGATGCATATCTAGGGATCCAGATTCTACAAAATCCTGTAACTCCCAAGAAAGCACTAAGCTGCTTTATGGTATGGGGGAGAGGGAAACAGAGGATTGGGGATTCCCTCCCGACTCAGGGAGTGAGTCTGTCTCTTTAAGACCACACCTAGGCAGGTGACCTGTGGTAGGCATAATTGAGCCTTCTCCTTAGAGACTTTGTATTCCTGGAGGCCAGAAAGTTTTAAAAAAGGACTCAGTTGCCCTGCAGGTGAGGGGCTCTGTGGCTCTGCACAGATGTACATTATCAACATATTGAAGAAATGTGGCCTCTGGGTAGTGCCAACCTAATAAGTCTCTGTCCAAAACAATGAGGGCTGTCTTTAAATCCTTGTGGCAAAACTGCCCAAGTTAGTTGCTGTGAAGGGTTTGTGGAATCTTCAAAGGCAAACAGGCTGACTGTCAGGATTTAGGTTAAATGTAATATTTTTGGATAAAAGAGTGCTTTAGCTCATTATTTTATATAAGTTGACACTTTTAACTTTGTAAATGTTTGTACCATATTTAGATAAAGTATAGACACAACACTGTTATGAGGTGGTCATTTAAGACACATGAGCAAATACATAAATGAACTCTGATTTAGTAGTACATAAAGCTTGACAAGATCAACAGAAAACACAAATAATTTATTTGATAAAATCTTTCCCTATAACAGTTTTTTTGTAGATGTTACTTAGAGCAGAATAATATTAAGATAACCTTTTTATTTTATAGACATAGAGAATTAGATTTTAGTTTGACATGACCCTAAAAATCTTTTAGGCAACTCTTAGATTATAGTCAACTTTAACTTTATCACACACCGAAGCTTTTTAGTATACACTTCTAAAATTTACTCAGACCTTTATATAACATTTTAAACCCCTTGATGGTTTGTCCTTATCCCTCCTCTTGATATTTGAAACAATCTTTAGGACAAACCCTTCTTTACAAAATCCTTTCTCATCCAAAAAACATTCCTTTTTTCTTTAACTTCTCAAAAAATACACTCAATATCTGCCTATATCCTTTCCACTTGTTTACTTTGTAACTTGTATTTTAACATTAACTTTTATAAGAATTTTAAATTTATTATAGGGGCTGGAGCAACTAATTAGTAGCCCTTGGTTTTTTAAAGGAATTTATGACAGGCATAAGGCCCCATCATCCCTCAGCTTGAGGGGATAGTGTTTTTGGATGTGTAAACTCTGAGGGATCGTTGAGTTTTATTTGAATAGGGAGGGCCATCCTGGCTCACCCTACAGTCATCCACACTGTGGAATGTATTTGTTTCTGAAGGAGGGGACAGCAGAGACAGGTGCCTGAGGGGAGGAGAATTTGAGCTTTTAATTGAGATAGTAAATCTCTTCCCAGCAGGGACACTGGAGTTTCAGGTACTATGAGGAAAGAGTGACAAAAGAGGAGGTCTCCCCAAGACCAGGCCAGAGGCCAGGTAAACTAGCACTTAAGGAGCTGGCCAGATATGCCCCAAATGATAACCTTGTCATTGGACTGGGGACCAGGAAAGAAAAGTAAAACAGAGAAACAGGTTCCACTGTCTAGCAGGAAAATTACCTTTTGGTTTTCTGCCATTATGTCTACCCTGAGGTGCCTCAACATTGATGCCAAGAAGTGGAGCAAGGACAGGAGGCCAGGACCCATCAATCCATAGGAGGTGGCACCTCACCTTCCATCTGAAGATGTGGGCACTTAGTCCTGCAGTGGTGGGGCCCTCTTTGAGAGCAGCAATGAGGTCATGATGTCTCTTATGTTTTTCTCTCCTGTAAGGTCCCAGTTATAGTATACAGACATGGCTAGCTGTACTAGTTGATCCAATGATTTTTCTCCTTCAGCCACAGACTGTGAGTTTTCTATGAATATCTGGGATTGACTGTGTTAGAAATTTATCTTTGAGGAGAACCTCTCCCACCTGTGACTCTGGGTCCACTGTGGTATGCTTTCTGATAGCATCCTTAAGATACAGAAAGATAAGGGTTTTCTTCAGGCCCTTGCTGTACTACAGTCACCTGGGAATAGTTTAGAAGTTTGACTTTGGTCCTTTTTAGCCCTTCCACTATGAGATGAATTAAGTGGTGTTGATGCCATTTATCCTCCTCACTACTTATTTTTTATTAACAATGCTGGGGAATTGAACCTAGGACCTTGTACATGCTGGGAAGACAGTCTCCCACTGAGCTACGTCCTTAGCCCCAAATATATATATGTTTTTCTTTTGGCTGTACTGGGATTTGAACTCAGGGATTTATACCTGCAAAGCAGCATTCTACTGCTTGAGCCACGCCATCAGCCCTTTACCATTCTGATTTTTAGTGTGGATCTGTCAAGGGGACTGCCTGTGCCCCTGTAGGTATAGACACATTTATTCCCTCATTTTTAGGTGCTATGGGTATTGGGGCTCATTGTAAATGGTAATCATTTCCAACCTGACTGGCCTGGGCCAGACCCATTGCTTTTCTAATGAAGAAAGAGTCTGGTCTAATAGAAGCATAATATCCTTTCATGTCAATTGAAAGGTTTGGATCACAGAGATAAAGGCTTGAATGCATTGATCTGGTGCATCAGTATAGCTGTCCAGATGTTTTTTTAATTTCCCTTAGACCTGATAGCTGGAAGGGGACATAGACTTGCCCTCTTCCTACCATTGCCTGTTGAAGGGGAAAGCACCCATTAGCAGGTTCTGAATATTAGGGTGGCTTAGAAGGTAGGGCACAGGATGGAGAGTAGTGGTGGGGGCCTTGTCACTGATAAGGGGCTTTTCTGGTCATCCTTTCCCATGTTTATCCTGTGGCTTACAAAGAATGGCCAGCATTTGAGTATCTAGATAGCAATTATGGAGCCAATCTGGGTGGTCTCAGAGATGAAATAAAATTTGTATAAAGGACCTCAGTTCACTTTTCTCCCTTTTACAGAAAAGGCTTAATAAGAGTATGTGATTGAAATTAAGGAACTCTGTGACAGCCACTTCTCTTGGTCACCCAAGGTATACTGAGGCCAGGCCTCAGTACAAAGCTTCCAACATTTCCTTTCAACATTTTAATAGACAAGCCAGAAGACTGGAAGGGGCAGGTCCCATCTAGAAAGACAACAACAAGAATAAACTGGGTCGGTTCCCTTCTGCTCAGTGTCCTGACTGGGAATGACCTTACCAATGAGTCCAGGTATCCCTGCCTTGTGACTTTTCCCCCATCCATGATCAGGACTGGAGAAAGTGACCTGGTCGGATTAGACCACCTAACCAACACAGTGAGAAGAGAAAAAAAACAAACCACTAGGATCCTGCCTTTTAGCTAACAGCAGGCAGCCTCTTTAATAAAGGCTACCTTTTTAACAAAGGAATGCATCATCTGAAAAGTTAGAGAAGGGCATTCAGAGGGTGTCCCAGGGCAATAACAGTACCATAAGGGACAGCTAGTGCTAATATTTGGAGGGAAAATTTATGCTGAGGCCAAAAGTATAGGAAATTTTAAATGAGAAGTTTAGAGATCACAGTAACGTCCATTTTGCTGTATCTGGGATTATAACCTTGAGATAAAAATTAGCTTACGAGGGCTGGGTTGGTCAGGCCCAAGGTGTAAGGTGGGGCTGGGAACCAGGCTTGAGCAAAGTGCTGTTGCCCCCTCCCATGCCCAGGATAAGCAGTCCCATCCTGCAGCC